ACACACAAACACACACACACACACACACACACACACACACACACACAGAGAGAGAGAGACATACACACACCACTACAATAAAAAGCAAAAACCACTAAAATAAAAAGCAAAAAATTTCAAGTATGACACATTGTGCTTATTTGTAGAAGAAAAAATGTAGCATACTGTTTTATGTTACATATTAGCCTATAGTTATCCTGTTCAATCAATTTTCTAAGAACTCACATAAGATTTCACTCGCCCCCCAAGTGAAGGTATTCTAAATTCTAAACAGCATATTCTAAACAAAGTTATATGTGGAACACTAGGAAATAATCTTACTTTATCTTGGTTTTCTTTATTCTTGTAACACAGATTTCCAATCAGACGAATGAGATGAGATTTAAACCCTTCAGCCATGTGTTCGATGTCACCTTCTGCTTTTAGAGAATCAGAGGGACTGAAGATGTTCGAGGTATCTTTTCCAGTTACATGAATCACCCGTAAAACATCTAGAGCAAACAAGTAGAGTTCATTTTCCATAAGAAAATAGCACACAGCATCTAAGTTCTACATAAACACAATGGATTAAAATAAAGTAGATAAAGCACCTACCACTCTCTCGATAATGACTTGAGTGTAGGGGCCAGCACAGCAGTTGAGCACCTACCTAGAGTGCACACTGCCTTAGTTCATCCTCAGCACCACCAGAAATACAACAGCGGTAACAATAACTACATAGCTTCTTTGCTTTTGTATTCATTTTTTTAAGTCCCAGTTTGAAGGAGACTGATCATAACAATTAGTCTCACTCAGAACTCAGAATTTCTATTTATTCACAAAAAGAGATTAAAATTTTGCAACTTTTTTCTTATAAAATGATTGTTTTCTTTTTCTTTTTTTTTTTTTTCCAAGACAGGGTTTCTCTGTGTAGCTTTGGAGCCTGTCTTGGAACTCCCTCAATAGATCAAGCTGGCCTCAAACTCACAAAGATCTACCTGCCTCTGCCTCCCGAGTGGTGGGATTAAAGGTGTGCGCCACCACCGCCAGGCATAAAATGCTTTTCAATTCCAATATATTAACACAAAATCTAATGTGATAGCTAGTCAGACAAGTGTAAATCACAAGAAGTTATGGTAATGACTTACAGTTTTCTCAATGGCCAATAATCAGCCTGAGCCCTGGACTGACATTTGCTATAAACACAGCAAATAATACTGTTCTATTCTGTGAATACCCTCAAGAGCCTATGAAAATACACAATCTTATAGAAGTTGCACATTTTCCCACATTATTTCATTTAACTCTCTGGAACAAACCTATTAAATGCAGACATCACTGTCACAATTTTATATGAAGCAATCAGACTCAGAGAAGTAGTAACTTGGCAGAGATAGGATGGCAACCCATATTGGTCCTAGATTCATAATGATTCCCAGTTTGGTTGTTTACTCTGATTATCATTAAAAGTATTACATTCAAAACAGAACTCTGTAATGGAATTCTACATGCCTTTACAGATCACTGCTGGTTCAACTACAACTGCGGATACAATGACATCTTTCTTCTTCTATATTGACATCTAGAAAAAGTACCTTTTTTTTTTTTTTTTTTTTTTTTTTTTTTTTTTTTTTTTTTTAAGAAAAATACTGAACAGTGGCAAGCAAAACCTAGGTCTGGGTATCTACGTGAATGGAGGCTCTATTGAACGTAATTTGCAAACAACTTTTGAATAAGGACAGTAAAGCTTCAAATACTGGCTTCCTAATTATTAATTGTTAATCTTGTTACAAGATTAAATCCCTAATGTGAGTGAAACACTATTCTTTGTTCTTAGAAGTATAATTGGGGAGAATATATTACCAGATTTTATAAATGAAATTTATGGTATAGTAAAATTTATGAAATCACCCTTATCATTTGCAAATCCCCATCATGTTTCTTCAAAAACACTCCCATGAGGTGACACTGTAGGTATTTGCAGAGGGGCCTGATTAGTCATCATACTGCTAAGTAGGACCCAAACTCTACAGAAGGGAAGGAACAACAATGTGGCCTCAGCTTAAGCAACCTGAGCTGTCAGCATTACACCACAATTCCAGTCAACAAAAAATTTCAAAGAATCTCAAGTAAAAACACCAAAAATAAGGGCTTGTGTTTGAATTCACAGCACAGAACATATCAAAGATTTCTTAACTAAAAATGCTATGTCTGCTATTTCACTCACCAATCACTCGTTCCATCAGGCCAGGAAAAACCTGCAGGTAGCCCAAAAGCTCCGTGTTGGATGTCATTTCACACAGAACGTCCAGAAGCCGAATGGTAGCCAGTGCTTCCTATAAAATACGGAAACCTCCTTGCTAGGAATCAGAATTTTAACTTTTATTGTTATAGATAATGATGAGAGAATGAAATGTTGTAACAAATACTGCAGAGAAAAACAGAAGTGTTTAAATATTCCTGAATGATCACTAACAGCTGCATCAAGAGGGCAAGATTATGTGTCATTTGTTATGTGTCTTCTTGAAGCAAAAAGTAAAAAAGCTCTTATTAAAGCAAAAATACCTCCTAAGAGTGGGATAAATGGTCAAAATTACAAGCTACACATAACACTTATGCAAATATTTCCTTTTATAGCATTCTTAGTATGAAAGTTCCACTTTAAAGATGCAAACATTCCACAAAATACATTAACTTCTTGTCCACAAAAATTCTGTAATGTTCTGTGGTCTGAAAAAACAATGACTTCAAGAACTTACATTATTTCTGGGTAAATCTAAGCCTTTATGCAATGTATTGGTAGGGTGGAAGAGACATTATTTGAAAATGCTAGCTCACAGCTACTAAATAGTTTATATGAAACAGAAGGCACAACCAGGAAATCACCATGTGCCAACTCTATGGCACTCCATTAATCCAATGTATTTTCCAAAGGTGCAATTTTTAAAGATTTTAAACCACACTTTTTCAAGTATACAATATTTGACAATACATAGTAGCACATATAAATTTAGGTCATGAAGATAAAATTCTTCAAAACAAAGAAATTCCTTTTGGTAAAACTATTCTTTATAGTCTTTAGAAAATTTTAAGATTTTAATATAGCTTTCTACAAATCTCAAAATAATATCAAGAAATAACAAACTTTAACACCTTGGATCTTTATTTCAAAGCTTTCACTTGCTAATAAAGAGCTAAGGAGGATATAGAAAGAAGTCAATATTGGGGCAAATCCATGAGCTCAGCAGTGCTTCTGCACTCTCTTCTACAAGTGGTGACAGGCCAGACTATCTCCTCTAGATAACAAGTCTACTGGAGAAACAGAGGCTGATTCTTCATAGCGCAGGTTGCTGCTTTTATTTTGTTTTGTTGTAACTTGTTTTCTGTAGACATAAAATTTATTGTAACCCTTTACAAATAATTCTATAATAAGCATTCTGGTACAAATACCTGCAGTTTCCAACAAGTAAATGTGGGTTTATAAATTCTTAAAAATCCAATTTCTGGATCAAGAGTATGTACATTAAAAATAGTTTAGCAGTTCACCAATCCACTAGAAGACCATTACAAATTTTGCAATTTTTTAAAGATATATTTTATTTTTAATTATATGCATGTGTTTGAGTGTGGGTTTGTCACATGAGAGTGGGCTGGATTCCCAGGGAGGCCAGAAGAGGTCTCTTTCTTACTGATTAGTGTACCCTTTAGAGACAATGAGCCCCAGAGCTTTGCCTATTTCTGCCTCCTAAATGTGGGTATTACAAGAGCACACCAGCACACTTGGCTTTTTCACATGTGTTCTGGGAATCAAACTCAGGTCCCAATAGTGTGTGTAAGCACTTCACTGCCTGAGCTATTACCACAGCCCCATCTCACTCTTAGTTCTAAGACAGTAAATGTTTAATCTTTAATTATGTGTATGTATGTATATGTCTGTGTGGGTGTGTGTAAGTGACCACAGAGGCCAGAAGCATTGAGTTAGAGGCAGTGGTAAGCTACCCAGTGTGTGTGCTAGGACTAAATAGGTCCTCTGAAAAAGCAGTACAGGCTGAAACCACTGAGCAATCTTTCCAGCCTTTAAGAGAGTAACTTTTAAATGATATACCAAGTAATGTGGGCTGTATTATTTGTTTGTTTGTTTTGTTTTTTTTTTCAAGACAGGGTTTCTCTATGTAGCCCTGGATATCCTAAAACTCACTCTACAGATGACGCTAGCCTTGAACTCATAGAGATCTGCCTGCCTCCGCCTCCTGAGTGCTAGAATTAAAGGTGTGTGCTGTCACCATCATCCAGCTAGTTTTATTAATAAGAGAAATTTAATGAGTAATATGGGAAATATGTTAGGTGGGATTAAAATGACTTCCTTTTAGTCAGTAACACAGAGTCTAGGGGGAAAAAATCTATGTCTAAATAATGAAACTTTATTCAACTTTTAAAAAACATATAGTAGGGCCACTAAGAGGGCTAGGTAAAGGTACTTGTGCCCAAACCTCAAACCCTGAAATCAACATGTTGAAAAGAAAGAACCTATAAGGCTTTTCTTTTGTTTTGTTTTGAACTCTTTGGGGGCTCACCACCCAGCTCTCTTTCTTATGAATGCCCAGCGTTAGCTTGGCTTTTTTCTACCCAGGTTTTCTAACTTAAATTATCCTGTTTCTCTTTAACTATGTTTTGCCTCTGGGCTTTTTACTTTCTTTCTTTCCTTCTTACTCCATGACTGGCTGTGTGGCTGGCCCCTAGTGGTCTCTTCTCCTTCTTTATTTGCTCCTCACTCTTCTCCTTGAGCCTAAATTTCTCCTCCTATTTATTGTCTCTGCCTGGAAGCCTAGCCTATTTCTCTCTCCTGCCTAGTTATTGGCTGTTCAGCTCTTTATTAGACTAATCAGGTGTTTTAGACAGGCAAAACAACACAGGCTTCCAGAGTTAAACAAATGCAACATAAAAGAATGAAACACATCTTTTACATCATTAAACAAATATTCCACACCATAAATGAATATAATACATCTTGAACTAATATTCTACAAGAACCAATTCCTCCAAGTTGTCCTGTGACCTCCACACTTATGCAGGCACACACACACCATTAATTCACAATACCAAATAAATAAATTAATAGGTAAATGATTAGCCTGGCATAGGTGGTGCATGCCTATAATACCAACATTCAGGAGGCAGAAGTAGGCACATCTCTGTGAGTTCGAAGCTAGTCTGGTCTACAGGATGAGTTCCAGGATAACAAAAAAAGTAAATGATTACATTTTTTTTAAAGCCTAAATTTCTTAAAAAAAAAAAAAAAAAAAAAAAAAAAAAAAAAAAAGAAAACCTTAAAAAAAAAAAAAAAAAAAAAAAGGAAAGCCTTAGACAACAAAAATTCAACACAAATGGCTCTGTGGGGGCTGGGAAAACCTGAAACTTCTTAACTTTGTTTCAGTGACATCAGCTAAAGAATTGTTTACAAGCCAGGTGGTGGTGGTATATGCCTTAAATTCCAGTACTTGGGAGACAGAGGCAGGTGGATCTCTGTGAGTTTGAGGTTAGCCTGGCCTACAGAGCAAGTGCCAGGAAAGGCTCCAAAGCTATACAGAGAAACCCTGTCTCAGGGGAAAAAAAAAAATGTTTACAGAACAAAGTGCAAAAATAGGATCCTTATCAGTTTGTGCAGATACCATTCTTACTCATTCCATAAACACATATTAATTGCTACTGCAAAAAAGTTGCTTAATTTGGGTTTGCAAGGACTAAATGAATAAAAAGCCTTCTAACTAATGGTAATTCTCAAAGTGTACCTTCTGAAGGAAAGGTGATGCTCAGGACAAGTAACTGAGATTCAGTAAAGTCAACCTACAACTATTCCTAAATGGACTACATAGAGTAAGTGGACCAAAAGATGAGTGTGATCACCTTAGCATGCCACTACTTCTGTAAAAAAGCATATAAAAAAAGCCTCAGTATTTTCAAACTACACAGGCTAAAGAACTTCTATAAACATAGCTACTTTCCACCACAGTCTTGTGAAAACTTCATTAATTAATAAATATCTTATTCTTGTAAGGAATCACTGCTGGCTTGCTGGTCGGTGGCTTGGGGAGATGAAGGCACAGCAACGATGTGCATCACTCACTAACGTTCATAATGACTCTGACAACCAAGCAACAGCCAGCCCATAACATCTAGTTATGAACAGAGACTCTCTGGAGTCGGCATCAACTGGTTCCAGAATACAACTTGACAATATGGTATATTGGAATACCAGTTCAAGTGACTTCTTCAAGCCTTCGGTAGTTTTTTAATCCCATTTCTATCTCAAAATATAATATATGCAAATTAGCATATTCCCTCCTCCCTTATAGAAACACTATTTGAGGGAAAATATAAATTTTTCTACATAAAAATCAGAGGCTAAGGAGATGGCTGAGTGGGTGAGAGCACAAGCACTTGCAAGCATGAGGCCCTGAGTTTGAATCCCTAGTACCCATGTAAATAAACTAGGTGTGCCTATAACCCAGCACTGGGGAGAAGAGTCAGGTAGATCCAGAGATATCTGTGGCAGGCTTGGCAAAAGGATAAGCTACCAGTTCAACAAGAGACTCTGTTTAAGATAGTAAGGTAGGGCAATAAAGGAAGACACCTGATATCTTGCTCTGACTTCATGGACATACACACCTGCACAGCCCCATGCATGCAACACACACACACACACACACACACACACACACACACACACACACACACGAGAGAGAGAGAGATAGAAAGTATATCTCACTATAATACTAAAACTTTTACACAATTCTTGCGAACAATTTAAAGTCAGTTGTGATTTAACAAATACTGGTTTTTTACTGTTTCCTAGAAAATTACATTTTTATATTAGATTATGTTTATTATGTATTACAATATGATTATATATTATACATATATGTGTATGGTTATATATTTGTATGTGATTATATATTATATAAAGGCAACTTATATATGGTATGTATTATATATGTGTATATGTATATATATGTTACTTTTCTCATGTCTGAGACTAAATAACTAGCAAAAGTTACTTAAGAAAGGAGGGGTTTATTTTGACTCATACTGTGAGAGTTGGCTTCATCATGGCCAGGAAACAGTGCTGACAAAAGCAGCTGCAGCAGCAAGAACATGAATGAAGCAGCTGGTCCTCAGTCAGGAAGCAGAGAGAGGTAAGGGCTGGTGCTCATGTGTCAACCTTTGTGTTCAGTCTGGGACCCCAGCTCATGGACTGATGCCATTGCTGTTTAAAGCACACCTCACTGCTCCCCCTGCTGGGAACAAAGGAACTATCTCCAGAGAGGAAATCAATGCTGAGACTTCTTCCTTTCTTTCATAGGAAGAGAACTGCTATCTACATGAAGGCAACAAAAAACAGCAGCCAAGTGGCCTGAAATTCAAGCACAAAGAAGGCAGTGCATTCTCATGGCCAAACTATCCCAAGCATGACTTCAACTATACCAGAAGTCAAGAAATTCCCATGAGCACTCACTGTACTATGATCTATTTTCTGTTTCTCTCTACACACCAGTTCATGCTGTTTGATTGACCACTCTGGAGTCCAAGCTCTCCCACATTGTCTCAAGCTACTGCCAACAGCATTCTAGCATCAACCACTCCTTTAGTGATCAGTCTTGTTGGGACATAAATAATCTATTATCATTTTAAAAAATATATTTGAAATCTACTTCATTGAGATATGGTTTGTACGTAATATACACCTTTAAGAGTATAAAACAGAGTTTGTCAAAGTACACAGCTATAAATAACATTTCATAAAGTTCCCTTGTGTCCCTATGTAATTACTTTCACCCCTGACTTTAAGCCCCTGCTAACATTATCCATGAGTCTAACCTACTACTAAATCTCACAGAAATGGAATCCTAGTCTAGCTTAGTCCACCTGCTCACATGCTAGTTTGGGATCATCTTTCATGCTGTTCCAGATGTACCTTTATTTTACTACTGAGCAGTTTCCAAGAGAAAGCAATTCTGACTTTAACTCAGAGAAGAGCAAAGAAATAGGTACAAGCAGAGGTTTTCCAGTAAAAAGGTAGGGACAGAATTACTGCCAACTAGCTTTAGTAGCCTTTAGTAGAAAGGAGAATGTGAGATGGTTAACCAGGATACTCCTACCCTGAGTAGGGGAAATAAAACTTTTTAAACCACTCAGAAACCTTTATTAAAAGGTTGCTGCTGTTGTTTTAAGACTTTATTTTATTTTATTTTAAAGGACATATTTTTGTTTTTTATATGTATGAGTATTTCACCAACCTATGTGTATTACTGGTGACCTCAAAGGCTAAAAGAGAGCACTAAATTTCCTAGAACTGGAGTTACGGATGGTTGTGAACTGCCAGATAGGTGTTGGGAACCCAACTCAGGTCCTTTGGACGAGCAGCAAGAGGGTATGAACATGTACAGAGTTAGACTACAGCACTGTCTACAATGAACAGAGTAGAAACAATCTACATGTCTAATTAAAGGGGTGACTCCATGCATTTATTCATTCAGAGTATGTGTTAAATGCCCACTATGTTTATAGTACTATGACGATAGCCACACTTCTGATCAACAATGGAATTGACAAGTAAATGGCATAAAATCTATCGATGTGGCTTTAACACATATCTGTGACCTATGCTTAACTAAAAGTATCAACCAGAACTACTTTTCAAGCTACTAACTTGTACTGGAAAAAACAAGGGCATTGTTTCCCCGTATCTGTATTTCTAAGTTGTCTAATAAAACCACCTCCCACTCAGAGAGTACACTTAAACCTTTCAAGGGGGATTGGAAAGATGGGTCGTCAATGAAGAGCTCTCCCAGAGGACCCAAGTTCAGTTCCCATCATTCATATAAGGCAGCCTACAATCACCTGTAATTCTAGCTCCAGGGGATCTGACACCTTCTTTTGGCCTCCACAGGTACCCACACATATGTGACATACATTCACACAAAACACACACATAAATAAAGACAAATCTTTAATACCTTTTAAGAAAGAAACCCCATAGAGGACTTGACTGAACTAGAAAACCTGTCTGTTCTCCCCTTCCAGGCTTATGAGATCTGTCTCCTTACCTTATCCTCAGTGTGAGGCTCTGAAGTCAACTTTAGCACATTCCTACACTGATCCACAAATGAGTTTGCAATCAACTCAGCATGGCGCAAAAATATAGAGATGTCATCCTTTGTCAGCTGTTCGTCACCCACTAGCTTGGCTATCATAATGTCTAACAGTGTAACCCTGTAAAACAAAAGAGTTCTGCATGAGTATGTGACACACACTGTATGATACCAAGAATGACTTTCAGAGGACATTTTAAGAGTTACTTTCATCTAAAATTTTTTATCTTTATTTTAATATTTAGCTAGGAAAAACTTTTATTAATAAAACTTATTATCAATTGCCTGTTTTAGAAAAAAATGTTTAGTTTCTTCTATGTGACTTACTAGCAGCAAGAACTGTCCAATACACTTTTTTTATCCATTACTTTTAACATCGAAATAATTCAACATTTCAGAAAGGTTGCCATAAGTTTTATGAATATATTCACAATATAATAGTAGCAAAGCTACTATTATAAGCTAACATTTATTCATTATATACATTATCTCATTTAATCCTTCCAAACCTCCATGGGACAAGTAATATCATTAGTTTTACATTAAAGATGTCAATGTTAAAATAATAGCAAACAGCTGTAATCAAGCAGGTACCCACACTCCCATATACAAACACCATATATATACACACACATGTGTACACACACTGATGATGATGATGATGATGATGATGATGATGATGATAATCAAGAAAATGGGTATGGATGAGTTGTGGCCAGCATAACCCAGCATGTTGATTTCCTCTAATATTATAAAGCAATTAACTATATACTAAACACAAACTATGTACAATTATCAAGTGCTGTGCACTGTACATAACTGTTACATGCTGTATTTTTTGGCAACTGGAGGGAACTGGGTTTACATCAGCATCAGAATAAACACATGAGGAAGGCATTGTGCTATGGTATACAATGACTAAGGTAATCCCACAGCTATGGCATCATGAACATTTTTCAACTCCATTATAATCTTACAGGACGATTGGCACAAGGTTCATTGTGGACCATATGTGGCACATGACTGTGACTCCTTGAAAACAAACACACTGTCTAACAACTGCTATATTACTTTATTCACTCAAGCACAAGGACGGAAAGTCACCAAGGGTTAGCAGAATCATTACGCATCAGATTCAAAGACTTGCTTCCTTCCCCTATCCTACAAACCAAAATACTTAGACCTCTTGAGGTTCCCTAGGCACACTCTTATTTCTGAGCCATGATTTTTAATAAGTCATTAGCTGACATGACCATGCTATTTCTAATTCACTTGTGACCAAATAGGTATATACTCTTTCTCAAAATTATGATTTCTGTGGTTTTTTTTTAAGCTTTTTTTTTTTTAAAGCAATGAACACGCAAAAGACCAAGGGAAATTTTCTATAGCAAAAAAAAAAAAAAATACCTATTGAGTTATATTTAAAGTGACACAGGTTACAGTTGTTAAAGCCACATATATGCAACCCTGAAAGGGTTTTGATAAGGACCAAGAATAAAGGTAAGAGGGGAAAAGAGTGTTTTATGAGCATTATTCCCAGCAACCATATAATGGCTCTTTTACAACCATCTGTAATGAAAGCTGATTCTCTCTTCTGGTGTGATTGAAGACAAGACAGGTCATTCATATACAATAAATAAATAAATATGAAAAGAAATAAAATACCTAATTCAAAGACTGTCATCTCCAGCAAATTTTCAATTTAGATTTGAACTCCAAAAGTGTGACTTGTTGAATAGTATATACTACAAAGGCCAAAAATTGTATTAACCCAGAACAGCCTGCTAACAAGGTAAAGGCAATGACCGCTGCTGACAAACCTCATCTGCACCTTAGTAAGCTACACAAAGCAGAATCAACAGGCTAGAGTAACAGCTGTCTCTGTAACCTTGGTAAGCATTACATTACAGAGTCTCAGATCCCTAACCTGGAAAACACCAACAATGCCCAAGTCACAGTGACTGGGAGGATCTGAGGGCAGTGGTGGTGCTGCAGTTTGAATATGGAATAACCCCACACAAGTCACACAGTAAACTGGGGAGACGGTTTAAGGCATGTAAGGAAGAGGAACTATGAAAGCAAGAGGAATTGAGCTTTAATTCCTATCACCTATGTAAAACCCAGCCATGGCCTTGAATGTCTGTAGTCCCAATGTTGGGGGACAGAGACTAGCAGATCTTGGGGGCCTGCTGGCCAACCAGGCTAGTCAAAAATCATGAGCTTTGTTTTTAGTAAAAGACCCTACCAATGGATGGATGGATGGATGGATGGATGGATGGAAAGAAGCTGGAAAGTAATATAGGAAAAGACTCAACATCATCCATCCTCTAGCCTCCATGTGTGCACACATACCACCACACAGTCTTGGTCCCTAGATGGTAATGCTATTTTAGGAAAGGAGAGAATTTTAGGAGGTGGGCCTAGCTGGAGGAAGTGGGTCAGTGAAGGCATGCCTTTGAAGGTTATACATGGTCACCCATCCCTTCCAATAAGGATTCAGGCATTATGCTGGCCTGCCCCTGTCACCTGACAGAATGCACTCAGGCAGTATCCTGGTCAAACCAGGATTCTACGGCTGCTGTGTAGTCTGCACACAGGTGCAAAGGATCCCTTTAAAAGAAAGACCCCTGCCCACTTTTGTTCTCTTTCCCTCTCTCTTTCCTGCTGTCCCCTTGGGGCAGACAGGACTTTTCCCACCTTCCTCTTCTCTTCTGTCCTCTCTCTGTGTCTCTGTGCCTCTTTGACCTCTTTTCTCTTTCTTTCCCCCTCCTACCCCTTTCTAATAAAATTTCTCACTTAAGCTCTGTCTGCCTGGCATGTTTGTCCCTGGCCTCAGTCAACCTTGCCTGCCTGCCTGCCAACCTGCCTGATGTGGAATCTGACAAGGTTCCCCAGGTGCTTTGTCAAAACACTTCCTCCAGCCCATTAGGAAGTGAGCCACTTTGCTCCCCTACATGCTTCCAATTGTGGTACAGTACCTCACAGAAGCTAGACTGTAGGCTCAAACCTCTAAAACTGTGAGCCAGAAGAAATCTTTCCTCCATCAAGCATTTGTCTTTGTATTTTTGGTGTTTGTCTAACCATTGCTTTCCAGGGCTACATTGAAGAGAAAAGCCACAGTATCCAAAGGAGGAGGGAGCTATGGTTGCAGTGCAGTACTAATGGTAGAAGTCATAAGCAAAAACAATTCATAGTTGAGCATGATGGCACACGCTTTACAATCTTAGTCTCTTATACCAGCTTTTGGGAGGCCACTGCAGCCTGAGACCAGCTTAGGCAACACAGTAACATAGGGGCATTCCCCTCACATTTATTGACTACTAATTATGCAAACACTGAGACCTTAATCTATCATCTATTTAGGTAGTTATCATAATAATTCCATCAAGTGACTATTACATTTGCATAGATGAAACAGGGCTCTACAAAGGTTAAATGAGTGAGCCACCCAAACAGCAGCTGCCCTTTGTCCCTGTGCCACATGCACACATTAGAACCTGAGCACTGTCCACACTGCCTCTAAGGAGCAGCCTTTGCAACCTGCTAACAATTACACTGGCTCAGCAGGAATGGGGACCAGGAAGGGCATAATATTGGTTCTCATTATTACTGACTCATATCAAACAAACTGATTACTTGCGTATTCACAAAATAATCCGTTCCCAATAGACTGCCAGCCCCTAGGTAAAGGAGTCAAAACCCTAACATTACAAGAGAGCACTTTCACACATGCACAGAATAATGCAGTTATTGCCCATACCACACTAGGCAGGAGGTGTGCTCACTGGTCACCATCATGCCCCAGGAGCCATCAGCAGATACTTAATACAGTACTTGTTTGATTAACTGATCCACAAACATATTTTAAAATGTGGACAGCCAATAAGATATCATAATGCAGGGGGTTGGTCTGGTATTTCAATGGATTCTTCAATTACTTCAATGCTCTCAAGTGTGGCTCCTCATCTGAGGAACATTCTGAGTAACATACCGTCTCCTTGGTTCTCACAAGGATTCTCCATGCATGGAAGAAAATTTTACTTGTCACATAAACCTGCTGAGAAAAACTCTTGTGTTAGTCCCACTGATCTGCCAAAGAAAACTTCTGAACAAAGATTACACTCTATTTCCCACAGAAGAGGCACCAAGCTTCCACTTCACCTACAACCCAAGACCCTCACAGCCCCTCATCCCTAGCATGGACCTTTCCACATCAGCATGGACACCAACAGCAACGCACACAGCAGCCCTTCATTCAATGGCTGGAGTCAGACACCATAAAGGGCTCACTCTCCCAAGTTGCCCTGAGACTCCAGGACTTGGATTTCACAGCTCTGTGGGTACAGAGGGATTTGAACTAATTATTCCCTCTTTGGATTCACAGCATCACCATCAGAACAGTTCATATTTGGATTGCCCTCTACTACCTACTAGGTGGAGTATGACTAGGCCTTGTAAATATTCTTCCTCTCTAATAAAGGTACACTATTTTATGTGATTTACCAGAAAACAATAAACCAAGCAATATATAATCGAAATAATCAAACTAGTTATATGAACAAATAAGTACATCCTAAATACACAATTATAATACATACTTGAATAAATTGTCATAAAATTTTGTTCTTAAAAACTTTTTACTTCTTTAGCATGCTTTTACTAAATTATAGGCATCAAACTGAATTCAATGACCCTATAAAAATCACTGCCTCTTGTGGCTAGGCTGTGATGTTAAGCGAGCAATGTAAAACCAGCACCGCACAGACAAATGTACTTGGAGGCCTTTGCAATGAGAAATTGTGCAGCTTTCAGTCCAGGGTACAGGATACTATATAGAATGCTAAAGAGTCAAAACCACACTGCTTTGGGGGTTACCTTTCCTGGTTGCTGAGTTTGGAATACATGGCTTCCACCAACTCCGGGCTTTTCAGAAAGTGGTCTGTAATAATCAAGAACCTATAGGGAAAAGGATGGAAAATTACAAACAGTAAAACATACATGTCCTTATACATATACTTTATACACACATGTTACACAAAAGAAAAGCCTTTCATTTTATTGAACTTTTTTACTATCATCTCTTTGTAAAATTTTATGCATCTGACCATTTTGCCTGTATGTATGTAGTATGTATGTACACATGAATGCCTAACCACAGAACCCAGAAGAGAAGAGGGTGTTGTATTCTCTGAAACTGGAGTTACAGATTGTGGTGAGCCACCATGTGGGTGTTGGGGATCAAATCAGGGTCCTCTGTAAGAGCAACAAGTACTCTTATCCCCCAAGTCATCTCTAAAGCCCTAACTTTACTGTGATCTTCTCTGTCTTAGGAGGTATATAAATGTTTTGTTTTGTTTTTAAGCAGTTACAAGGTGTATGTGTGTGGGGGGGGGCTGGTCCTTAAATATTATTTTCTCCATTTCCATGTGAAATTTTAGGAAACTAATTCAATTGGTTCAAACAGAAAAAACAAATCTACTTCAGCTTTTACCCAAGCTTTTCACTATGAATGGAAACATGAAATTTAGCTACAATTTCAGATCTAGACAGGAAACATAACACACAGTTTTAGTCAGAAGTTTAGTGCTCTAAGACAAGGTAGAAAAATGGACATGTCATATTGTTATTTAAAAGATATGCCAACAATGCAGTGATGAATCCTGGCTTGATTTTCCACTCTTTAAGAGTACTCAGGTTACCAAGAAAACATCCCATTGTCAAGCACAGTGCTCCTCTGGACTAGAGAGATGACTATGGAGGCCTGAGGCAAAGATTATAAGCATATTTTTTAAAGTACCTCTGTGACATCTAAAAAGATTGAATAGCATTATTAGTTCTTAACTATATCTAACAGAAGGTATCAGTGAGACTAAGAACTAAAAATGTTTATAAATACTGTTTATAATATAATATAGTATAAAACGACTATAAAACGACTATAATATAGTAAATACATTAAACACAACTTATTTACTCTCTCAACAAATAAAATGTCATTGAGTGTAATAATCAAATGACACACACCAATGACCACTACACTGCCTTCTATCTAAACATAAAATCAAGCACTTGAGATGTGGCTCAGTGGCTATTCCCTACACAAAGCCCTGTGCCCCCATACCACTATTTCTGAAAAAAATCTAAACAAGTATTCTATTCTGCTATAGATCTTTATAATTGACAGTCACTACTCAGATTTAAATATTTCTAACAATAATGAAAAATAATTAAAAAGTCAGTGGTATTATATTAGTTTAAGCAGTTTAACAAATGGAGTAAGAGAAATTAATGTATTCCTAGGTAGGTTCACAAATAAAACTGGAATCCTAAGGCCCATTCATACATAACTTGGCCATTTGAAATCAAAACTTTTCTCATGAGAACATTTGTTAAAAACACAATATTCAATCAAACATGCTAGTGTGTGCCTATGATCCTAGAACATGGAAAGCTTATGCAGAGAGACTGCCAAATTCAAGGCCAGCTTAGATAACACAGCCCATGACACCCCAACCCCCCCAAAAAAACACTATGGTAAGTACTATACAAGCAACTAGAAAACAAATTTTACTTCCCCAAATAATCGCCAAACAGCAGAAAAAGAACCACAACTACCAGACAACCCAACTATTTTATTCCTGGGCATGTAGCCAGCAAACTCCATACCCTGCCATAGAGATATCGGCACTTTTATGTTTATTGCTGCTCTATTCACTATAGCAAAGAATTGGATTCAACCTAATTGTCAACTGATAGATGGATAATGAATATTAAACACTCACACAAATACTATTAAACTCTAAAGAAAAATACAATTAAAATTGCAGGAAAATGAATGGACTTAAAATGTACTATATTACTCAAGGTCATGCAATCTCAAAACGGGAAAAAACACATTCTCTCTCAGATGCAGAATCTAAACAAAAACACATATGTAAGTAAACAAGTATACATGTGGGTACAGTATAAAACACAGAAAAGAAAACAAGAAAGAATAAATATTAGTGATGGGGGAAGTCCTTCTGTGTATATGTTTGTCTTATTGGTTGATAAATAAAGCACTGTTGGACAATAAGAAACCAAGTTAAGCAGGACTAGGAGAGAAGGAGGATTCTGGGAAATGTAGTAAAGACAGGAGTCCCCATGTAGTACTCGGGAAGACAGGATGCTTAAGGCCGGCGTCCTCTAAGATAAGTCTTTATAAAATATATAGATATTGTTATGATTGATAATTAAGACTGAGCTAGCAGATAAGAAATCCTAGTCATTGGCCAGCAGCATTGTAACTAATATTAATCTCTGTGTGCTATTTTAGCAGCCCATGTGGCAGTGGGGCTCGAGTGACTTGGTCTAAAGACTTACCGTTACATATTAGGGGATAAAAGAGTGAATGTAGGTGATGGACACAAGTTATGACAAGATATTTTTAAAAAGCTATGTGTTTTTCTGTTCTAATTCTGTCATGGACATTTTGGGTTTGGTGGGGAGGGTTAAGTGAATAAATTATATCCAAAGGTGAACATGTAAAATCCAATGTGAAGCTCCACAGCTTGAGAATGGCTATTCTAAATGTAAAGAAGTTCACTGAGATATATATATGGGTTTTTTTTGGGGGGGGGGCAGGGAGTAGTTTTTCAGGATAGGGTTTCTCTGGCTGTCCTGGGACTCACTTTGTAGACAAGGCTGGCTCAAACTCACAGAGATCCACCTGCTTCTGCCTCCCAAGCACTAAGATTAAAGGTATGCATCACCACCATCTGCCTGTGTGATAGTTTTTATTCGAAAGATTTTTATAATGAAGTTTATGAAAAAATTATAAGTATAGAAAAAGGCATTATCCAACTGCTCAAACCAAATGCAATGTCAGACTTTCTCACCTACATTTTCATGTTACTCCAGTAAACCCAAACAGAAAACTCTGGGGTTATTATTATAGTCTTACATCTTTTTTTCGTTGTTTTTGGTTTTTCGAGACAGGGTTTCTCTGTGGCTTTGGAGGCTGTCCTGGAACTAGCTCTTGTAGACCAGGCTGGTCTCGAACTCACAGAGATCCACCTCTGCCTCCTGAGTACTGGGATTAAAGGCATGTGCCACCAACGCCCAGCAAGTCTTACATCTTTCCCTTTCTAAGAATAAAGAAAAAATTAGAAAATAATAAATCTTCATGTAGTTGGTGCTCTTTATCAGCCATCTGCACGTCCAACCCAAGGAAACAGGGTCTTCTCCTGTTTTCAGGAATCAGTTCAGATTTAATAGTAAACAATTTTTGGAGGGCTCTGCACAATTTACAGCCAAACGTAGCTTGTGAGCAGCAGACATTAGCAGCTAAGGACCACCTCCCCATCCTGTCTTAACTGCACCTGGTAACTGCTGACAGCTTCTGAAGTACTCTCAAGTAGATCTTCTACCTGCCCATTATGAGTTTGGTTCTTTATTCCACGCTGCTAAGATACAGACCCCAGCTACCTATCAAGTACCTATCAAATAAAACAGAACTCTTTTATAAGCTTGCTCAAAGTAAGTTGACTCTGAGGACTCATCCTCAATGACTGCAAATGCTACATGTGCATACTGAGGGGCATTTTCCCAGTTAAACATGTAAGTTTTTCATTTGACAGCAGCTCTTTATTTGCATATGGTAATTCAAATAAAAATGATGCCAGAAAAGTAAATCATTTTAAACTTAGACAAAACTTCAACATAATATTTCATTTAGGAGGCTAAAACTGAAAAGGTTTATTCTTTACCAAAGGCTCACTACAAGAAGGCCACCTGGGTCCTGACCACACTGCCCATTGTGAGGAGTAAATCTACAAAGATACTTAATATTAATAGGAAAAGACTAGTAAAATGTAAAAAAACAAAAATAAAATGTAAACGACAAAACTTTTTGATGAGTTTTACAATGAAAACCAGATTAATTTGTTGGGAAATAATGTAATAATTATAAATATAAACATTACATGATGACATAACAGCTATAAACATAGATACTACATAATTATGTAACAACTATAAACATAGACACTACACGTATATACTTAACACAGCCTGAAAACACATACAGTGACCTCAAAGAGTGGAGAGGATACTGGCTTGATGGCACAGCTATCACCTCAGCACCTGAGAGGCTGAGGCACAAGAAATACTAGTTCAAGGGCAGCTAGGGATACAAGATAAGCCCCTGCTTCAAAAGAAAGAAACTGGATTTATTTCTGAAAGACTCTAGCAAACCTAACAGAGCACACTCATCTTTAGTGCACACAGAATATTCTCCATAATGATGGTATAGTGGGCCATAAACAATCTCAAGAATTTTAAAAAAGAATGAAATCATACAGAGGGTGCCCACCCCCAGTGAAATAAAATTAAAAATTAATAATAAGATGAAATTTAAGAAATAAACAAATCATGGAAACCAACCTCCTAAACAACCAGTGGACATAAGAAATAAGATAATTAAAATATAACATGAAATGAATGAAACTGGAAGCACAATAGCAAGATTAACAGACTCCTAAAACAGTTCTTAAAGGAAATTGATGGGTGAAATGCTTAGACCCCATGTCAACAATCTAACTACCTTTCCATCTTAAGATGTATCAAAAAGCCAAACCCCCGCTGGGTAGTTGCAGCGCATGCCCTTAATCCCAGCACTCGGTAGAGGCAAGCTGATCTCTGTGAAGTGAATTCGAGACCACCCTGGTCTACAACAGCTAGTTCCAGTACAGCCTCCAAAGCCACGGGGGGGGGGGGGGGGGCAAACCCTAAACCAAGTACCAAGAATGTTACAACAAAGGTTACAACAGAAAGCGAACAAGAACAAGAAGTCATACAGAAAGGTCAGTGAGGTGGCTCAGCACATAAAGGCTCTTCCTGAGCAAGCCTGACAACCTGAGTTCAATCCCTGGAACCTACATAAAGGCAAAAACAGAAACTCAATCCACAACATTGTCCTCTGACCTCCACAAATGTGCCATGGCAGTAGCCCATCCCGTCATCCTTCACCCAATAATACATTCCTGTAAAAAAGAACTACAGATTCATATAAATTTCTACCTGTTTTTAAAACTAAAATGATGGTCCTAATATTAACATAGAAATGCAAGAGACCTAAAGTAGCCTCCTCTCCCTACCACACACATAAATCTTGATAAAGAACATAGGAGGCCTCACATTTTCAGCCTGATCTACAGAGCTAGTTTCAGGAAAGTCAGGTCTACACACAGAAACTCTGTCTTGAAAAACAAAACAAAATTTAATTAAATAAATAAGAAAGGCCATAAATAAATAAATAGGTAGATAGATAGATAGATAGATAGATAGATAGATAGATAGATAGATAAATGGATAAATAAATAAGAAGTTGAAGGGATCCCAAAAAGAACAAGCTCCAAGAAATGTATGCTAAATAACATTAACTCCTTTATAAAAAAAAAATGAAAACAATGTAAAACAAATCTTAAAAGCAACCAGAGAGAAATCAAACATTCTGTTTACATAGGTAATGTGAACAGCAACAGTATCTCATTGACACAATGCCCACAGGCACATACCAACTTCTGATCTTTTAATGAGCCATTTGCTAGGGTCACAGTGGTTCCAAACAAGCTGAGACATTTGTACTATGTTCATTCACACATCAAAACTGGCCTTCCCCTTCCTTACCACCTTAAAAAATCTATACTTCAAGGTCAAGCTCAGGCTTTCCCTTTTTCACAACCTCAAAACAATTATCATACCTCAAGTTTTTACTTAAAACTTCTAAGAAGGGGTTGAGATCGAAGCTTAGTGCAAGAGCACTTGTCTACATGAACTCAACTCATCTGGACTATGAAAAAGTAAGTAAATTAATAAATTAGAAGCTGGAATAAGCCAGATGTGGTGGTAACAACCTCAGCTCCTGAGGGGCTGAGGCAGGGAATCAAAGGCTAACCTAGAGAATACAGCAAGCCCTGTCTCAACATATTACTAAAACCTCTATAAGGAAAATGATCTGTTAGGATGGCCTCAGTCAAATTTCCAGCAAGATACTTACGGCCATTCTGACTCTGGATGCTTTTGGTGAGCTTCTATGACATTAATCGCAATATTGAGGTTTTCTTCCAGGTCTTTCATTCTCTCAGGATTAAGAGATGTGAACAAAATCATTGAACAGTAGGCAACAATCTTTTTGTCTGGATGATTTAAGCAAGACCTGACAAACAAAGAAATGAGACTCTTAGTCCAATTACCAACTCAGCAAAGAGTGATTTGTAATCCTTAGCAAATTTAGTATATACTGGTATTTTTAGCATAAAATAAAGATTTATAATGCTGTGAAACAAAGCATACCTTTGACTAGAAAAACAGTAAATATAACAGTAAGACACAATACAATGGGACTGGAGAGATGATTCAGTAACTAAAAGCAAAAATAATTCTTGCAAAGGATCCAAGTTTGGTTCCTAGCACCTACCCCTGAAAGCTTGTATCTCTGGCTCCAAAGGACCCAACATCTTTTGGCTGAGGGCAACTTTACTCATACATACTACCCACACACAGACATGTATGCACATATATAAAATAAAAATAAATCTCAAAGAAGACAATAAAAATTGCATTGGATTTAGGACTCAGAATTGAAAAAAAAAGTAACATTTAAATAGAGAAAGAAAATTAAAATGATCACTACTAAATCCTGTCAGCTAAAAGAACTTAGTGAGGTCACTAACTGTCAGTTATGTCATGGCTCATCCTAAAATTTGATTTTTGTCCCCACTTAAACTTCACAACTCAGGTGTGGTGATGCACACTATTAATGGCAGTACTCAAGAGGAAGAGGCTGGTGGATCTCTTGTGAAGTACAAGGCCTAGCTTGGTCAACAAAGCAAAGCAAGTTCTCAGAGTTACAAAGTGAGACTTTTTCTTTAAAAAAAAAAAAAAAAAAAAAGTTATGTTGGCCAATGAGATCTGTCAGCCAGTAAGGGTGCTTGCCACCAAGCCTGATGACCTGAGTTCAATCTCCAGAACCCATGTAAAAGTGAAAAGGAGAGAACTGACTCCTGCAAGTTGTCTCTAGTGTCCACATAATTGCCATAGCACAAATACATGTACATGCACACAATAAATAGAAAATGTAAAAAAAAAACTATAAATAACTATTGAGTATTTATATAGCTTGAGTTTAATTCTTTCCTTCCATCTACAATCAATTATTATTAAATGTAAAGATAATAGACACATATCTATAAACACACATTTCAGGCATTTGAGAACAGTACTCTGAGCTAGAACTGAGTAAGAGTTCATTTAATAACCATAAGTTATATACAAGCCCAGAAAACAAACACAACCAGAGAGGGCAGCCCAGACCTTTCACCGCAGCACACATGGCATGGATCCAGACAGCAGCACTTGCCTTCACACTGCAGCTATGCCCTTTACTATTGACAATCTACAGGAACCTCACCTGTCCAAGCAGAATCAGTTCCATTTATCTATAGGACTTGTAAGAACAGAAATAATAGCCGCTGTTGTGCTGCCCATACTGCCCACACTAGAAGCTTGGCCTCCAGAAGCACTACACAGTGTCTTTCTATTACCTATCTACTTCTGTCATAAATTTACATTTTATTGTGATGCTCAACTACTTACGAATTAATATAGCTAGTGTTTTAAAGTAATGCATAACACGAACTAATTCAAGAGGCAACATAAATAACCAGACTGGTTATAGACTTCTTACAGCAGCCATCAGCTGGTCAACCACATCTTATAGTAAGTAATAAATAAGCTCAGTACTCATCTCTTAGCACTGACATCAGTAACTGAATTATCTTCTTCTCACAGTGACAGATTGAACAACAGAACAGCTATCTCACTTCTCATAGTGAAAGTCACCTCACACTGATAAGTATACATTATCCAAATCTTATAATCCTCCATTTTCTACCAAGAATAATATACACAACAAAAAAATAAAATAAAATAAAGGATTTACTCACTGCCCATATTTTGATGTTTCCTGTTTATGTTTTTTTCTGTATAAATTTCAGGGTCCTTAATGAAGTTACTACTTTCCCCATGACCTTTTCTTTTTTGTTTTTATTATTGTTTTTTAATTAATTTTTTATTTATTTTGGATACCAACCCCTCCCTCCCCCACCTCCTTTCTACCCCCACCCCAATCCACTTCCCATAACTTTTATTTCTTAAAAATAAGCTGGCATGTTCCCAAGGGCCACACATCTTGGTACAGAGCTCAACGAGTATCATATATGTGCATCATGGAACCACCACACAAACCAAAGTACAAAACACTGGCAGGGTCCAGGAGGGTCCAGGAGTCTCCTTCATAAACCCATTCCCAGCTAACACATATCTGCTAACAGTCACATATCTGCATGACAGTCTTGTTTTTCCCAGCTTGTGAATTCATATAAATGAAATTATAAGCACAATCTTTTCAGGAGCCAGCCAAAAAAAAAAAACCAATAAATCTCAACATCATACTCACATAAAGAGTTCTGGGAAAGCATGGACCCAAACAATGGATTGGGAATCTTCATTCCGTGAGGCAATGTTGCCTAAAAACTGGAGGCCACAACGAAAAGCTAGAAATATAGAAAAGTAAAAACTGAAAATAACAGATTCAACACAATGAATAAATACATCTTATTAAGAAATATCTCCCATGTTATTACATAGTAGAGTGAGAAAGAGAAAGGAAGAAGGGAGGGAGGGTAGGGTTAGAGAGAGGAATAGAGAAATTGATTGGTTATCTAAGAATCTCACTGCACAATGATATTCTGAGCATGACATTAATATGCCTCATCAAAACAACACTAGGTAAAATTAACTTCTTAAAGATTATAAACTCAACTATAATTACATGAAATATCATTGGAATAATGTTCCAATTAAAAGGTAACTAGAAATTAGGTATATCTGCACATGTTTGTAATCAAGGCACTCCAGATGCTGAGACAGAAGGATCATGATAACAAAAGACACGCCAAGACCAGTCCAATAAAACTGTCTCAAAACAAAACACAGCTTTACTTAAGAATGAATTTTTAAAATGCTACAAGTTTTTTTTTAAAACAAACATACCTAAAACATAAGGTTACAGAAATACTACAAGTTAAAGAAAGCTAAAAGGAGACAGATCAAATATCAGCTAAAAAAGGAGAAATAGGCCACTTAAAATTAGACAAAAAAGTATTAATGCAAAAGACGTTACTGGGAATATGTTAGTCATTACAGACCAATTTATCAAAAATTTAAATTGGAATTCACCTAGTAATACACTCTCAAATATAAAGAAAAATTGACCACAGTAAGTGAGAAATGTTGACAATAAGTTGACTAGTTTTTAGATATCTTTTCTCAACAAATTCTAGAAGCAGACAAAAATACCAGTATGTCTCAAAGCTCTGAGTAAGATTTAATAAAAACCTAACTGACATTTAGAATATAAAGCAGCAGAACACTGGCCACAAGTTCAGAAAAGTAACAGCATGAAATGCTAGGAAGTACGTGGAACACAAACTCATTTACTGCAGTTGAGAACGGAACATGTTACTTTGGAAAACAGTTTGCCAGCTTCTTACAATGAAATACAAAAAAGCCACAATGACACCATTAACAAAGGTATCAAAATAAATGAAAATCATGTATATACATCTAAGACAGAAATTACAAACTACCAATTACAAATCTCCATTCAAGGTCTTCCTTAACCTAAAACTAGGTATAAATAAAAAAAAGTCTACAGCACACATTAGAATTAATGGCCAGGCATGGTGACAAATACTTTCAAAGAGAAGTCCAAGGCATTTGCAATTACCATTTATAATTACCAGAGTACAAAAATACCACTGCCAACAAGGCAAAATACCCAAGGGCTAAAAAAGGAACAAATCAAACTATCATATCCCACCGTATCAATGCTAATGTATATAGATTATTTTAAATGTATAAGTGTCTACACCCTTGAGAAAGCTTATTTATTTGTAAGATGTTTATAATAAAGTTTACAAATATTAAAATGAGCTTATAAAAGTTGCTTCACCAAAGTCAATTATTTAAAAAAAAAAAAAGTTCTACATTCAGGAAACAATCAAGCATAAGGACACTAGACTAAGGGATACAAACAGTGATATACTTGCCTAGCAGGTACCAGACCTTGGGCTCAGGTCTCAATCTCTAGTAAGAGGGAGGGGATGACATGGTAACAGGACAAGGATACCATTTATAAAAGTACCAAGATGTGGGGTTGGAGGGATGAGCATTTATGAGCACTAGCTGCTCTTGCAGAGGATCCAGGGTTCCCAGCACCCATATGGCAGCTCACAGCCAACTGTGACTCAAAGTTTCAGGGGCTTGGACATTCTCTTAACTTCCACTGGATACACACACATACATGCTGGCAAAATGATCAGGCACATAAACAAATCTAAAAAGAAACTGTTCTTAAATGCCAACATACAAGTGGCAGTAGTGGGCACACTATCAAGAGGACAAAGCAAGACAGAGGTCTTAAAGTAGAATTAAGGAAAGAAGAACTATCACAGGTCCAAAATCATGTGACTGAGTTTCTATCTAGAAATTAAATGTAACTATCAATCTAGATCCAAGTAGGAGAGTACACACACACACACACACACACACACATATGCATGCGCACGTGTGCGCTCGTATATGTCATTCCACATTCTGGAGAACTTACATATTTGTAGGAAACTTAAAACCATTCTAAAGTTTGTATGAAGATACAAAAGTCTGTTAATAGCAAAGACATTGGTAAAAAGTGAAAAGATGTGTGTTCACAAACTACCAGCTAGTTCAGTAATGTAGGTACAACAGGATGGAACCACGATAGGGATAAACAGTAGTGGAACAAACACAAACTTAACCAAATGACTAATGACAGAGGGAGGTATCAGCAGCAAATTGTAGAAAAACAATGGTCTATATACAAGAGGCAGCAGAAGGATGCCTGGTTGTCAGCACAGAAACTTGACAGTTTGACAGTGCTCTTCTTCCTCACATAAGACAGAAAGCTCCATCCCAACCCTGACCTGCCAAAATCAAAAAGTTTTAAAAACATTAGAGAGCCTTTAAAGCCATCAGAAAAGATATTAATAAATGTTAACACTTTTTCTTAGAAGATACCACAGGAAACACAACTATCTTTATACTTACAGTACATTCAAAGAGCTCTTACAAACCATTTTTTTCTTATTTGTTTGTTTTTTTTTTTTTTTTTTTTTTTTTTTTTTTCCCCAAAAAGGGGCCCCCAAACAGGGTCTCACTATGTAGTTCTGGCTGTCCTGGAATTTATTATGTAGAACAGGTTGGACTCAAACTCACAGAGATAAACCTGCCTCTGCCTCCTGGGTGCTGGGATTAAAGGCATGCACCACAACACATGACTATAAATCATTTTTAAAAGACAGATAAACCAATAGAAAAACAGGAAAAAAAAGTTTTGTGGAAAAAAAATTTACAAGATCCAGAATGGGTAGGCAGGGATGAAAAAGTACTTGACACCATGAGAAAACCAAGAGGCTAACTCCACACCCACTGGACTGGCACAACTTACAGTTAGAAAACAATAGTGTGAGGGTGTAGAAGCCAAAGAGCCAAGAGTCCATGAGCTATTAACAATAGGACACAGTCAAAACAGACTTGAGTGGGTACCACCAGTTCTTGGTTTTTGCCTCCCAGCTCCAAATAAAACTTGAATGCTCTGTGAAAATAAAGGTGTCGGACCCTTAAGACATTTCTGCTGCCAGCATTATCATCACGATTTACTCCTCCTGAAGGACATCCTCCTCTGCTTTGCTCAACTCTGAGAAGCAGTTTCTCCAGTCCCAGATCCCACAGGGCATAACATCAGCAGATCAGCGGTGCTAGCAGCCAGAATTAGTTAATATAACTTAAGAAACTGAACACAAAACTCATGTTTATACAAACAGATGCAAATATTGAAAAAAGAAAAAAATTTAAAACTCAAGTGCTTCTCACAGCCTGTTCACAGAATTATAATTTCCTTTGGTCTACTTTTCTGAGTTTTTAAAATCAGTCCATTATAAATGCTTATTGAATGTTTATAATATAAAAGTACCAACCTTTTTCCAGATAAGCCACAATTTTAAGAAATACTAATAGTCCTACTCAACACTTCCTTAGCAAGCTTCCTGGCAATGCTCCCCCCTTTGCACCCAAGGGTGAACTTCCATCATGCTCATCAACAACACTACCTCTCAGACCTGCTCTGCAATGAGCCAATGAGCCATGAGTGCGGCCTCCCCAAAGGTCTCAGCTGTAGATGAGGTCAGGGAGGTCCCATCTTAGCCCTGGGATTGATTAGAGGCTACATGCATCCATAATTCCTGAAGTCATCATTTTCCTTACTTCTTACTAGTCAATGCCATCAACTCAAACCTTTATGACAGCAACTCTTTACTGTCATATTTTCTACCAGGGGTATAGGCCTGTAACCCCAGCACACAGGAAGTGGAGGCAGGAGAATAACAAGTTCAACATCAGTTTGGATTGCACAGCAAAAACCTAGCTCATATGTAAATGCACAAAAAACTTCCTATTCAAATTATGCAGTGGCTGCTGTCTCCTCTTGTAGCCTTACTAAAAGAGTGAGTGGATTGAGGAGACAAAGGGAGGAGAGACCAGTAGGGACAAGTGGCATCAAGTAGGAGCCTCAGAGAACAGAAGCAGCTAAACCAGTCACAGTAAACAGAAAATGTAATTTTAAACAAGAAAATGTAATATAAGAATTAAAAGAGAAGCAACACTGAGGTAGCACACAGGTTGAGCTGCAGGCACCAAGTACACCCCTAGGACTGGAGGAACACAGGCAAGAGGTCGGGCTGTAAGAACCAAGGAGCCTGACAGCTTCCTGCAAAACTGCAGCCAGGGTTCAAACATGCAATTCTTTTTTTTTTTTTTTTTGGGGGGGGGGTTCAAGACAGGGTTTCTCTGTGGCTTTGGAGGCTGTCCTGGAACTCGCTCTGTAGACCAGGCTGGCCTCGAATTCATAGAGATCCACCTGCCTCTGACTCCCAAGTGCTGGGATTAAAGGCGTGCGCCACCACCACCCAAAATATTTCAGAATATTGATACTCAAATTTAACATGCAAAAAGAGTGAAAGGGATACTCTGGCCTCACAGCCAAGCAGAACAACAGCTCCTCAGGCCAAGAAGGAAAAAAAAAAAAGGCACCAAAACCTCTGAAAATCAAAAACAGGATTCTGGGAAGGAAAAGACTTACAGATGGCCCAGGCATAAGCAAGAAGACTTCAGGCAAGTAAAATAACAGTTTACTTTACCAAACAGCTTATCAACTGATCTTTATGTAAACACTAAGAATAGTGCAAAGCCCCTAAAAAATGCCAGCATTATTTTTACAGATTAGGAAAGAATATATGCCAAAAACAACATCAATAGCTCAATTAAAATAACTCATACTTGTGTTTACATAAAATTTGATGACCATAATATATTTGTCAGACCACTGCAATTATTGCCTGAAAATAATACTCTAAATATTATTTTGACAATATAATTACAGTTCTTACCTCAGAAGCAG